TGTCGGCGGGAGACTGAAAACTCTAATGTTTACTGAAGATACTGTAGGAAGAAGCTGTAGGTTTTATTGATCCACTGCAAACTGCCACAAACCAAACATCCATCTAATGGGAGTTTCAGTGCCATAAGCAAAAGAATTAGAGATCAGCCTAAAACCAGGACATCCATACTGCTGCATAAAAAGAAAAACAGGCTTGTTTTCTTCACCACCGGGCAATTTTTAAAGTATTTCAGATTGTCATATTTTACTGGAAAGACTATCCATCTATTCTCATTAGCATGGGCGACCCATTAAATGGTTTGTGACAGCCTCAGTGGTAGAGCTCAAACAGAACTTTATCCAGTTCCAAGTCAAGTTTATTAAAAGTGTCCTGCAAGAGTCTGTAGTTCTACTTTTATTCACTATATTCTAAACTAATACAATCTCTGCCACTTTTTATTTATATAATCAAAAATGTTTTTTATTTAATCAACATTTTTATGCATGTTTTTTCTCTTAATGCGGTCTTTGCAAACCTACAGTCTGCTTTCAAAACGTTTCAGGTAACATTTGTTGATCAAACAAAGCGTACGCCATTTTCAGGGACACAGAAGAAGATCCTGCCTACTTCAAATATCCACAGCTCTCACGTTCGTCATATTAAAACCGCTGAATGCTGCAAATATTAAAACCCTGTCTCGTAGAAATTATGTTTATATATTACTAAATCGTTTTTCCCAATGAAGTGACAAACATAATCTCTGGCTCATGTTCAGAGACAATGTTTTATTGAATAATAAAACTGCTGCATTAATAAACTGCACTGAATGGTCGGGGTGGATTGTGGGTTGAGAATCCTGTCTGTGGCTTCATGGAGGTGATAAGCACTTTATAGGGAACACAAAAAACCCTATATCTGCAGGTAATGAGATTTTAACTCAGCATTATACCTTTAAAAAAAAAAATATTTTAGAGTATTTTTGAACATACTCTTCTCAGAAATGTTTTTCAGAAGTGGTCAGAAAAAGCTGTGAATACTGCTGAACATATCACAGCCGGTGCAAATATTAAAGAGCAGAAAAAAGAAAACTTCATACAGCTTTCAAACAGCCAGATATGACGTATATTTTAGTAACGTTTCTTAAAGGTCATAATACTGCGGGTTTTATGCAGTAATCATGGACAGTCTGCAGGTTATTAAGACATCAGTAACCAAGTGCTACTGGAAAAACCAAGGTAAGACTTCAGAGAAGTAGAGCACAGCATTACAGACTGCCAGTGAGTAAGTGAGTTGCGCCTCTGTGGATCCTGCTGCCACCAGCTCAGATCTGACAGTAAAGTGTCTCCGCACGGCTTCTGAAGCTGGTGGGAGAGATCTGATATCAACTCTCTGCTGCTAATCAGAAACCTTTTCAAAACCTCCCAGATGTGTTGTGCTGAAACCCTGCGCCGCGAGCGCAAAGAGGAGAAAGTGTTTCCACAGCAACACAGTCTGAGACATTCACAGTGGTCAGTGTTAGCGCTGGACTCATGGCTGTTTAAAAGTCGACACTGATAACAATCTGTTTTTGTGTATTTCACCTGTTGCTTCTACACCGACTCACTGATTACAGACAAGCTGCTCTACAAATGTACAACTGCTGGTGTCAGTAAGTAACATACTGAATCCTCACCCTCTCCTTATAGCTGAAGCTATTATAGTGCAGAAAGAGTGACTTGAAACCAAGCTAAAAAACAATGTGTGGTCAGAAATGTACCCTGTTGCACCTGTAACCCAACAGTGATGTCACAAGGTCCTGGAGTACACCTGTACATCACAACAACTCCTACAACCCTCTGATACGGCCCATAGGAGCGTCTCCTGCAATAGCGCCCCTACGGCGTGCCTACCGAACCTCGGTTGTCATAGATACCACAATGAACACACAACTGTAGCTAGAGGGCATAGCGATCGTCGCTGTGGTAACTATGATAATTGTCATGGCTTGGTTAGGTTTAGGAAAAGATCGTGATTTTGGTTAAAATAAGTACTTTCATCAACATTCGGCGGTCTATGTTGTCATGGTTACAATAATAACAACAAGGATAACTTTGTTGAACGGTCACGGATAAAACAAACGACATAAACTGCTGGTTTTGCTGGGGATCGAACACTCCTGTGTTTGGTTGACCCATCCATCCATCACAACCACCTCCTAACGGGGGCTTTATGCTACATCACCGCACTTTTCCCTTTGCTCCTGTCATAGTTTCTACATCCACTGGATGTCGCCTAGCAACAAAATGTAACTATGGGTTATAATAACCTGCTACACAACCAACCTATGGGCTCGTACATCACTACAGCGAGATGAGAGGATTGGGGCTTCATTTACTCTTTATAATAATATAAGATCAATAATGTACTACCTGAAATATGAGAAATGGCCCTTTAGCCCACTGACACCCCATCAACAACTTGATACAGTGCATTTTGGGTAAGTGTTGGGTCCTTCCAGATATTTAGTCATTCTAGCTGATGCACGACCTCTGTGGAAAGAGGAAACACATGGAGTTTCTGCATCAGAATAATTGTTCATTGTGTTTAGATCTGTTTGTAGCTGGTAACAAATTCTCACATCATTGTTTTGAATTAAATTTCCTTATAATACAACCCTGAGTTCTTTGTTGACTGATTCCAACAGTGAAATTTGTACAGGTTTGTGGTGTAATTCAAATTCACCAGGTCACCAAAGTTTTTAAGAAGCTGTTCTGAAGGTATAAGTGCTTAAACTTTTGTCAGTATTAACATGCTATACCTGGTTAGATCAGTTGAAGTCTCCACATTTCAAATATTCGGGTCATTCTTCAGTAACCATAAGCACATAATTAAAATGAATTAATATCTATCAGCATTGTAAACCAGCAAAACCTACTATTGAAGAGGTTGTGAAATCCCATTGTCGGTCCATTCTGCGTCTGTGTATATTCCTTTCATCCATAAGGGTCCACAGGTCACAAAAATCAAAAGGGTTTTTTTCATTAAAGTATTCCAAGTTATGAAAATCATCATGAAAAGGCCGTGAGAGACTGTCGAGCGACTTTATTTGCGGCACTTTTTCTACACATTTCAAACATTTTCCCTCCTTCCGGGTGTTTGTCAGCGGGTATGCTTGTGTTCGTTAACTTACTGGCGACAAACCGGACGTTTCCCGGCAAACATCCGTTCAGGTGTCACTCCGGGAGGCCTGGGTAACGACAGCGAGCGTACCCGAGCGGAAAAAACGGAAGACGCGATTGTTTCAGTCAGAGAAAGCGCTGCTATTGGTTACGGCCTCTGTCAATCATTTTAGCTTCAAGACAGGCGTCTGCCCTGTCCAATGAGGGCAGACAAGAGGGGGTTGGGCAGGAGCAACATGGTGTAAACAAAGTTTTTTAGGCATCAAAATGCTTCAGAATGTTTTCTACTGTTTCAGATTAAACACATAAAGCACAGTTTTCCGTTTAGAGATGTTCAAGGACGCCAGTCAAAAAAATAATTATACCATTATATTAGGTCCAGAGGCCTGAAACGTCACACAGGAGTTTTTGACAAGAGTTTTTTGACAAGGAGGGATATGATGGTTTTTCATAGTTCTTGTATAAAAGCCTAGTTATTGTTATCAAATATGACTTTTTTCAGGTGAGGACAAAAAAATACCATGTATGAGCTGATGTAATTTAGGTGGGGTTTTAGTCCTATGCTAAACAAGCACATTTTCAGAAACTAGATGTTACTTTTCAGATGATGTCTCATAAATCCATTATGGTCCTACAGTTCTTCTGTTATGAGCTTTTTCATGCGAGTATGCAAATTACATTAAGTTAATAGAGAGCTGTATTCATTCATAATGACAAGAGCCCCACCCTGTGGTGTGAATGAATATTACACAGAATTATGTCTTCGCATTAACTTGTTCACGGTTGATGTTGAATCAGAATATGTCCCAAAATGTGTTCTTCCCTCTGATTATTGGACCCAGACTTGATGCAACTCACTGTGGTGCCTCTGGATGATAAAAGCTCTCTGTATAATATAGAGTACAGCTAATACATCAGTGTATCCACTGTATATAAAGATAAAGATAATTATATTCTCTGAAAAGCTGTATATTAGATGGTTTAACCTCCACTGCAACACATGGTGCAGCAGACTGTAAATGCTTTGAATACAATAAAAACAATAAAGTCATAAAACTGTAAAGATTGATTATATGATTATATTTCTTGTTGCCTTCAGGTCTTCCTCATGTTTACACCAAGGTTAGGGCTGCAACTAAGAATTATTTTCATTATTGATACATTTACCAAAAGTTTTCTCAATTATATTATAAGTAATGAGTCTGAGTTTCGTCCATGCATTAAATGTTTAGCATTTTTGCTTTGTAATTAACTTAATAGATTATTTGATTATCAAAATAGTTCCCGATTAATTCTCTGTTGACTGATTAATCAAGCAATCAATAAATCTCTACAACTTTAGCCTTGATTCTACAATATCATCTGCATTAATCTGCCAAAGTGCTCACACTGTATCCACTGAAACTACAGTATGGACATGCTGCTTTATCCATTAGGTTACACTTAGTTTTGTCTGTTTTTTTATTTTATTTTATTTAGCTACTTTAATCCAAAACAACTTCACAACTTCACAGTTTTATATTGCTAATTTGTATCTCTATTTTCATTCTGTTTTTATTGTTTTTATTTTTTATTTTGATTGATTTGTCTGCACGTTTTTGTTGCTTGTTTTATTATTATTATTATTATTATTATTATTATTATTATTATCATTATTATTATTATTATTATTATTAACAGCCCAACATCCAAGAACAACATAGAGAGATGGATAGTCAAACAGATATTTTACGAGGTGACCCTGAACGCATCATCGGGCTTGGTGCTACTCAGAGCCTTCTCCTCTCATCCTTTTGTGTCTCCTGTCCAATCAGCGCTCAGATGCGGCTTGTTGGCAGCTCATTGGCCGCGAAGGAGGAAGATGCGGCGGCCATGGAGAATAGATCGGGGACTTCTCAAACCGTCCTGCTGATGTGATTGATATTGTTGGATTGTTTTCATGCAGCTGACACGTTGCGGCTTGTAGCGTGAGGCGTTTGGATCTGTAGCCGCCGGTCGCCGCTCGGTTGTGGTGATTTCTCTGTTTTGTATTTTGAATTTTCTTCTTCTTTTTTTTTTTGGATTTGTGTTTTGTTGGATCGGTTGATGTGATGTCGGGCCCGTCGCTCTGCCTTGTAGGTGAAGTCACTCCCTAGTAATGTAGCTTCGGGTTATAGCACTGATAGACCAATCACTGAAGGTAAGAAAAAGCTGAAACGGGACTCAGACACTATAAAATCACCTTATGAGTTACTGTAAGAATCTGATCTGACTTGTGGTCCCGGCTTTACATGGTACCTGACTTGAGGGCCTCATCATGGACGGGCTGCCTGTATTAGCTTCAGATACTTCATATTGTAAAGCTGTGAATGAATATAAAGAAGAACTGTTGAGACTGCAGACATGAGGCTAATACTGTGGCTAATACTACTCTTATAATTAAACATAGTGGGATTAAAATTATTACACCATACATCACTATATAAACTGGAGATATAAAATTAACTCAAATGAAAACTGTAGTCCTGTTACTGCCTTTTGAGTAACATGTCATATGATAAATATGTATGTGTATGTGTAATGGGGTATGAAGTACTATGAAGGACTGGGGGTCTCTCACTGGCTTCAGGAGTAGGTTCCCACACTCTGACATATGGAGGTGAACCTCTGGAGGTGTGTGTTGATTAAAGCTGCTCCCCTCCTCTCGCAGGTGTTGCTGTGTGAACGATGCACGAGCGATGTCTGATGTTGAGGCCACGTATGCGGACTTCATTGCCTCTGGCAGGACGGGACGGAGGAACGCCCTGCACGACATCCTGCAGAGTCCCACCGACCCCGAGGGACGAGAGCTGCCCCTCACCCTGTCCCTGTCCCAGCTGCACATCAACGCGGGAGGGGGAGGTAATACTGTATATACTTGTTATACTGTAATACACTGCGCTGTGTTGGGCCAGTATTGTGTATTCACCTATGGAAGTGTGTCAGGAGGCGGAACAGAAGCATTGCATGTGTTTCCATTGATATAAAGGTGATGTTGACTGAGGCGCCACAGTTAAACACAATATGTTGAATGAAAAATAACATTGCATGTAGACGGAAGCACAACACCTTGAGTTGTACTGTGCGTAGTGTCTCATCATCTAAAAGCAGTTTAGGTTGGTCACAATGTTCTTGCTTGGATTGTTAAATTTTACTGAGGCTCTACAAGGAAACCACCTCCTGCGTCTTCTGTATGCCAACCTTTCAAAATAAAATGTTGCAATTTGTTCTTTATTTGCACATACTGTGGCTGCGTATCGTTCATACCAATACCTTCACTTCGATACCGATTCTTATCAATATTTTTTCGATAAATTTTTTTTTATCAAATCCATTTCAACAAAAAGAAAATAACTATACACAACACGGAACAAATTTTTGTTTTATTTTTAAGCTCGGTCTCTTTACACACTCAAACGTGTTCGTGTAATTAAACAGCCAATCACCAGCATTACTAGAGCTGGGTCCAAGCACGCTGCATGTTCATTGGCTCACTGACGCTGGTGAGACTTACACATTTACTCCTTAGACATCAAGATTTGGTAACGAATGACGAGGCATTTCTCCATCCTCGATACTATCAAACCAAATCGCTCGGTACATAAAAGTATCCCAGCCCCATGTTTACTCTCAGTCTGCTCCATTTCTGATCTCATGTAAGTCATTTATATGTAAATACAAACAAGCTTCCTGATCATGGAAAAATGATCATGATGGACAAACACGGGCTCATATTTTTATCAAGTCAAAATAAAAGTCATCTAGTGTGCTCTCATCGTAATATCTATAGGCTACGTAAAAGGGACTTTATGGGGTTAACTGCAGGCGCAGTTAAAGTATTATATTATTATTCTGCTGGTTATTTAGAAGCCATTTTACTGTGTTTTTTATTGTGCGTGTTGTGCAGGCATGTGTTGTAGGTGTACTGTTGTGAAGGGGTGTTGTATTCTAAATAAAGAGACACACTCAAGAAGAAGAAAGATGGGCTTGACTTTCATCAGCCTTTCTGCAGCTGTGTGGAAAATACAAACACTGCTCTTTGGACAAAGCTATGCAAAATTAGATCATCATCACTTAGAGAGATAATATGTTAGAAGTTATGTAAGTCAAAAGTTTTATTTTTCGTGTTGCTTTTATTTACCTACTGTAGTGAAGCTACAGAGCCGCATAGCTTGAGGGCTAATTGCTACAGAGTCAGTCCCAAGTTAACAGTCTCTCAGTCTTTTGTTGACTGTGAGATCAGGAAAGAATTACAAATGTGGTTGAGATAATAAATGTTTGGTTTTCTGATTTTCATACCACACCGAGCTAAAAATTTTCTCCTTTTCCTGATTGTCCTGCAGAGGGAGACGACACAGAGGACAGCCAGAGCTCCTCCTCCTCAGCGCAGAGGGAGGCTGAGCAGAGGAACAGCTAACCTTCACGTGTGACGTGTGTGTTCTGTGTGATGAATCGGTTTTGCTAAAGTGGGCTGGTAGCCGAAGGGTAGCACCGCCACTGCTGAGGTGCCTATAAGCAGGGCATTGACACCCAAAAACCACTGTAGAGGCGCTGTGCTGCGATGTGATCATCCGGCGCTCTCATGTCCCTGTGGCTCTGCTGTGCAATAGAATAACAGACTGATTGCAGGGTGTTTTTTGTTTTTTTTCAGAGCCGGTGTGAGCAGAAGGACAAATTTGTAGCTCTTGTAAAGTTGATTTTACTTTCAGTCTTAGTTACTAAACACACAGGTTGGATGACTGGGGATGAAAAGAGAAAATAGACAGAGATCCTATGTGAGTTTTGTAGTAGTGTAAGCAATTTGTGAGACCACTGAGACGTGCTGATGTAATGGGTCACAGTGGGAGTCGCATGTTTGTAGAGGTAGTGAAGCTGATACAGATTATATTGCCAGTTAATGGCTTGTGCTTCTTTTAAAGTGACAATACTATGGAGGGAATTGAACTACTCAGCTGTAGTAGAGCTGGAAAACAACCATGAACAAAAACACGGCACTGTGTTTGCTGAAAATCCAGATGTGTACTGTATGTGAAACTGGACTATCCTGTAGAAAGCAGCAGATTGTAGCACTGGGGAGGTGTGACACCAACAATACATGTACAGTCAGTAAGGATGACATATTTAATGGTTCAGTTGTTAAAAAAAAAAAAGAAAAAAAAAAGAAATGATGATGGTGTACTACTGTATCTTTTAAAATGTTAATACTTTGTTTTTTACTTTTCTAATGATGCCATTATAACCACAACCTTAAAGCTGAGAATTAGATGAGAAAGACTGATGCCACTCTCATGTCAGTATTCTCAATATGTAGCTAGAGTTAGCTGAAGGCTAGTTTAGCTTAGCATAAAGACTGGGAACAAGGGGAAACAGCTAGCCTGGATATATCTGAAGGTAACAAAAACCACCAGCAACTCTAAAGTTAGCTAATTAGCATGTTATATATAATTTTGTAAGATTTAATTAATTCATAACAAAAACTGAAGTTAATACGGTGGCCCTGAGAGCTCAATACATCATACTGCAACTTAAGGAAACACATGCAGATAGACAAGACACAAGCAAATATAGAAAACATCATCAATTTGATAACACATGCTCTGCAAATACACACAACACAACCAAATACAGAAACACGCTGCAAGTAGCACAGGTGACAACAAAGTGTTTCCAGGGGACACAACAAAGTGTTGAACCTGAAGCCATCTTCATAACTTCAAAGGTCACAAAGCGTGTTATAAAGTATGTTTGACTGAACAGCAAGTGCGTCCCAGACGGGTTCAGCACTTTTTTTTGTGTCCCCTGGAAACATTTCCATCGGTGTCTGTGCTACTTGCAGCATGTTTCTGTATTCGGTTGTGTTGTGTGTATTTGCAGCAGATTTGTTGTCAAATTGATGAAGATGTTTTCTCAGTTTGCTTGTGTTTTGTCTATTTGCATCTGTTTTCTTAAGTTGCAGTATGATGAGCCCTCAGGGCTAACCATCAGTTAGCCATTAGCCAATTAACAACTATTTTGTTGTTGCCAGGTAACCAGTGAATACTCAAGGAAGTTACCAGTCATTTTTACACTTCAGTTTTTGAATAAATTAAAGAATTAATTAATTCTTAGTTAGATTAGCTAACTGAGTTTGTGTTGTTCATTAATGTACTTTAGTCTCCTGATAAAGCAGCACTACTGTTGTTTTTCTTGTTTAACAAAACAGGTCTTTATTTATGACCAACCGTAGGTAAGATAGCTAAGCTAGTTAGCTTAACTAAGCTGACCAGCTGCCTGCTCAAGCTACATATTCAGCATACAGATGTGAGAGTGGTGTCGATCCTCTCATCTAAGTCTCAGCAGTAAAGTGCATTTCCCAAAATGTCAAACTGTTCCTTAAATGTAGATATGCAAAACTCAGTGGAGCTTCCAGTAAGTGTAACATGTTTGTGTCAAAGTTTCTGTGTCTGACACTGAGGCTGAACTACATTCCTGCTACTTTGTGTAATAATGGAAACATCCCATAATCGACATCCATAAAGACCATCGTGCATGCAATTTTTGAAACTGTGTATTTTGTCATTTGTTCTCCCCGGTTTTACTGAGTATAATCCTACTGTAAGACTGCAGCTTGACTGTGTCTCACTCTTATTCAGGCTGACAATAATAGGCTAAATATAGCTCTTTTTTTATAATACTCATTCAGTCAGGTTTTCAAACTGTAAACTGCCATGTGACTGTGTAGTGACTCACTCCCGCTTCAACTACACTGTGGAAACCCAGCTGTTCATAATTCAGCATGTAGACGTACGGCAGGTGCATGATTCTGCTAAACGTGTAGGTGTTTGTCTGACTGTCTATAACCATATTTTCTACTTCTTGTGTCAAACAAAGCAAAATAAATGATGGATGACAGTAAAAACACTGTTTCTCGTGTTGTTGTACCTCAGCAATTTGGCCAGCAGGTGGCACTGTGGGAGGATTTATCAAACTTGACACTAAAACATGCATTACACTCAAAATGTGGTAAAAAAAAATTAGGCTGTAAATATTATTTTTAACACTCAGGTAACCATTATCAACAATTATATCAGATTAATTATTTGACAAAAGCATAAAAGGAAATGTGTGAGGACACTATAATGTTTAATGTCTGCAGATATAGCAGAGATTCTTTTTTATTTATGACATAATGTGACATAATGTAAAAACTCTTCTCAATTTCAATATTAACAGGTTTGTTTTCGTATACAAAGACCTAAAAGACCATCTGTCTGCTGTGCCCCTGTGTGTGTCTGTGTAGTTGATTATGCAAATAATCATTAGACAATTGTACCAGGAAGTTTCAGTGAAAAAAAAACAAAAATCCCCGACCAGTTTCTCCAAGTTCCTCATTCTGGCTGAGCGTAACAGACGACTGGCTGACCCACTTGTCAAGCCACATTTCTCCAGCCTGACAGTCAGCAAGTCTGGAGGTCAGTCTGATGAAAAGCACAGGCGAGATATCTGAGGAATAAAAGACATATAAGCATTGGACTGACCGGGACACGGAGAGAGAGGTAAGCACTAATGAATGTGAAATCAGTTAGAAATGAGCATCAGGCCATTGTGCGTCTGTTCATGCACACTCTCTCACTCAAACACACACACACACACACACACGAGAAGAGTTAAGATGCTTATAGATAACAGTTTGATTTGTTGAAAAAGGTCAACATTGAGTGACTAGCCTGTAGATTATCTTTAATTTTTAACCAGTCCAATCCATTTCTGAAAGTTTCTTTAGTGTTTATTTAAAAACTTATCTCACTTATGGTTTGGATTTCTCTTCAGTGTAAATTAAAGTTTTACCTTCAGACCACAGTATGGATGGTTTTTATTAAACTTTAAGTTTATGGTTTGTAATGGCTTTGACCATCACCAGTTCATTTGATATAACTTTTGCTCTGAATGTGATCAGGTTAATCAATAACTTATTCCCACACTGGACTGTTTCCTTCCCTTTCATTTCTTCTCCTGAGTCAGTGGCTCAGTCAGGAGGAAGGAAGAGTTTGCCGTTTGCCACAGCATAGCACATTGCGCACATGTATCTGTGTGTTTGTGTGTGTGTGTGTGTGTGTGTGTGTGTGTGTGTGTGTAGGGCGTCTTCTAATCTGTTTAGACCCTTGGTTTCCGGCTGTTTGCCGACTGTCAAGTTAAAAATATATAACAGAGGCATTGAACCAACAAAGCCAGTAACAAACCACCCAGATGTTGGTTATAACATTTTCATTCACAAACTTTTTCACGCTTTGTTTACAATGACAGGTCACGGCTCACAATCATATGAAAATCATGGACCTCTAAATCTGTTTAGAAAGGTTAAGCTATATTTCTGGTTTTTAGGCGTGTCCCCTCTTTCTGTTTGCCATGGGGTTAATGGTGCTTGAACCTTTTTTCCATAACTCTTGTCCAAACAATCATCTTGTCCAAAGACAGATTACCACTATTGTTTTGCATACTATTACTCAAAACTATCCTAGACTTAACTTCCTTAGGAACAAAAGTACCATTATATTGTAGACAGGGGTAAGTGCATGTGTCATGCTGCTATTTGAGGCCTTAAAATAACAGGTTTTAATGATTATAGTGTGGATAATTATCACTACCGGTGTCTGTCACCACTTCTGACTAAAATATCTCAGCAGGCATTCACATTCCCCTGAGGATGAAGCTTACTGCCTTTGCTGATCCCTTGACTTTTCCTATAGTGTCCCTTATCCAGTGAAGTATCTTAACATCTACTGGGTGGACTGGTACGATATTTATGTACAAACATTCATGGCCCCCCCGCTGGATGAATCTAAATTACTCTGCTGATCCACTAACCTTTTATCTAGCACCACTGTGAGGTCTAGATATGTGGCTTTGAGTTAAATATCCTGGGACCACTGGTTCTGGAAGTGTGATTCCCTAATTCTGTATTTCCATTCTAATCTTTTCTTTAAAGCATATCCTCAGTGTTGCTGAGCACAGAAACATGGGACTAGATCTTAATCATTTGCACTGATAATTTAACTGTTATAAATTTCATGCTGATGTAAGTCATAGAAATGAATAAATTGTGAGTCAGATAACACTGACTATGGGAAAACTTTATGGGACTTTACCGTCCAGAATCAGGAGCACCCAGAATAGCTATTTCCACTTTACAACATGAGTGGACGGATTGTCATGAATTCGTGTTCCACTTTGGATAACTTGGATTGTGGTAACTTTGTTGATCCCATAACTTTTCATCTAGTGCCATCATCAGGTCAAAATTTATGTTAGTCAAATATTTTATGAACAAATACCTGCTTTTGGAGGCTGTAAAACTAAAGAAGTTTTAATGTTTATGATTTTACTATGGACTGTATGTTGTTGACTGCTCCTCTTCACAGCTGATTCCTCTTGACCTTTACCTACTTAATTTAACCTATTTTATGTTTCCTGCTGTACTAAAGAGCATTCATTGCCCTGCAGGACTGGCTGAGTGTTTTCCTTCTTTCTCTGTTTTGAGTCGTTCAATCATGCATTTTAGTTTCCCATTGAAAGAGCAACAGTGTTGTGTTCACTGATGATTTATCACCTACTTCTGCTCCCGTGACACAGTTTCCTTGTGTGGTATCAATAAAGTTGATTTTACCTTATCTGAGATCATCATTCTGTTGTTTGGTTATGCTCCTTTGGCCATAATTGTTTGACCTGTGATTCACCATGTCATTAAGTCATTACTTATTTCACATACCAAACACTATTTGAACACATAATCATATAAGGTTGCGTTATAATAATTACTCTGATATCTGTCTAAATCATCATTCAGGTTTATCTTTTTGCTCTGTAGATAGTGCATTCTAGTAGTTTAAATATTACCAAAAACCAAAACTGAGAAAAGAAAGGAAGAAATAAAGAATGAGGAAGTGAATACTGAGCATTTAACCTACTATATCAGATTAAAAGCTAATTTAAACAGGATGGCAAACTGGTTAAATATTCTCTAATGGGTCCAAAGATGTATGTGCCAAGTTTTCTCCAGGGAAGGAAACAAAGGCTTCTGCTGGATGTGAACTTTAAACAAAATTCACAGTTTTTTGTACCATATAGATATTTCAGTTACCCGAACAACCACAGGTCAGTCATTTTACACGGCAGCCATTTTCCCCTGACGTCGCGCTGAGGGAGGGAAGCCTTGAGCACTTTAATGTCTCTGAATAAATCCTGTGCGAGAATGTTGAGAGGGTCGAAGAACTTGACTTGTTTACCTTCACTTTCCTTTGACTACACTGATAAATGGCCAGATGAATCTGCCAGATGTTGAATGTCAGGCCAGCCCACACTGTAACTTAATGCTAGGTTAGCAAACGGAAAGTTTGCAACTGACATGAATGTCAAATGTTGGCGCTACTAAAGTTGTCAGATGACAAATTACTCCACTGGCTTGTGCAAACATTAAACATTAACTAATGTTATATGGTTTCATAATCAACCTAAATCAATAATACTGTAATATGGCAGCGCAGTGTATCACTGCTAACTTAACTGGTTGAAAAGATAGCAAGGCAGCTAATGTTACATTACAAGCTTAATTTCATCATGTTTTATTTAAACGTTGAACGAAACGTGTCCAAG